CTGAGAAGCTGATCAACACATTTGTGTCCTCCCGAATTGACTGCTGTAATGCTCCACTCGCTGGGGTATCTAAATCCACATTGAACAAACTCCAGTATGTCCAAAATTCGGCAGCCAAAATCCTGACCAGGTCTAGTGCAAGTGATCACGTTACTCCTATCCTGGAGTCCTTGCACTGGCTTCCTGTCAAGTTTCGCGTCGACTTCAAAATCCTCATCCTCACCTATAAGGCTCTGCATACTGTAGCTTGGCACCTCAGTACCTTTCTGATCTATTATCGCCCTACTCCCCACCTCGCAACCTTCGCTCTTCTAATTCTGGTTTCTTAACTGTCCCCCAAGCCCGTCTACACTCTATGGGTGACAGGGCCTTGTCCTGTTATGCCCCTAAGCTCTGGAACTCTCTCCCCAAGGCTATCAGAGAATTGCCTTCTCTAAACTCCTTCAAATCCGGACTCAAAACCTTCTTCTTTAGAAGAGCCTTTTCTTAACCGGCTCCAATCTTTACCCCTCTGCTCCTACTGTATTTCGTACCACCATCTACTGTTTCCTCTGCTTATTCTCATCGTGTTTATCTTGTTTATTTTTTATTGTTTATTGTGCATTTTTAATTGTTGTTGTTGCTGTTGTCATTCTGTAAAGCGCTTTGAGAAGCCACCTTTAAAGGGCTATACTGTATAAAATAAAGCTTATTTTTATTTATATGTTGACCTTGTCCACCCAGTAGTGTACTGACTTCACACAGTAGCTTATACTCAGTCAGCTCCACAGGCTGTCCCAGAAAAACACTCTTCTTTCTAAGGCCATTTCATGCAGTATGTCAAGCCTAGTCTCATGTCTATTTCCAGTCAAGACCAGAAAGACAATACCAAAGGTTGATATAAAATCTGAGAATTTCAAGAAACACTTTTAACTAATATTTAAAACAAGGAACAAAACTGGGGGGGTGGACAATGGAGCTAGCCGAAGGCATCCAAAAAGCCAAGCAATTCTGACTGCGCATCAAATATGTATGGAGTCAACCACAGCTCCCACCTTTAAAACAAGTTCATAACAGCCGAGTCCCTGAAGCAGACCAGCTTTCAGCAGAATTCCAAATTCGTTCTCTTGTGAAGCAAAGTTTGTGTGTGCATATGGGGGGGAATGGGGGAAGGGCAGTGTTCCAAAAATAACAACTCCCAGCTCCTGCATTTAAAACATTTAAAACATGGGCTTCCAAAGCCACAGAAATCCACCGTAATGCTAACGTGGCGCATCGAATAACAGAAAACTGGTACTGTGATTGGCACCCAAAAATACATGCAGGAGAAGCATTACTGCCAGACATTACTTCTCACGTGAAAAAGAAATGGAATATAAATGTAATAATAAAATAAGGCCTTTCGACCCACGTAGCCTGTTTTAGAGTTATTCTGAATGTTATAGGTGTCTGGTACAGCGCTGGTCTTGGAGTATGCTTGTCCCT